GCCGTGGATTCTAAACTTTGACCGTTGACCACCACGGGAGCAATCAATGTTCAAATGAGTCAACTTTCACGTGTAACAACTCAAAAAAAAAAAAACAAAGGCAAGCGTATAGCCGTGGTAAAATTGGATCCAATTTGAAAATTTAATTAAATTTATCTATTATGGGTAGGGTAATCGGTCTTATATATCAATTTGAAATCTAAAATGAGTCAAACTGAAATTATTCGAATTCAAATGGGTTGGGTTATGGGTGAATCGATTACCCGAATGAACTTGAACTTTTTTTTATTCATGTTTTATTAGATTACTTAAAAATTAATTTTAATTTTTTAATTTTTTTAATTTTAAAAGTAAAAATAAATAAAATACTCAAACCATAATCTCTCATCAATTTCACTATATCTCAACTTTTTCTCTTCTCCACTCTCGCTCTCCCCACCTTCATCTCAAGCTCTTTAATCCTTATCTTTAGTGACACTCGTGTAAAAAATTAAATTATGTGGCACATAATGAGTTATGTTATATGATATCGTAAAAAATATCATTTAAAAAAAAATAAAAAGCAAGACTACCTACTGAAAATCAAAATCTAGTGGTTAAGGTACCCTTATAACCATTAGAAGCACAAAAACAAGAACATCAAAGTCCGTTCTTAATTACTAATTTGTTCTTAATTATTAATTTGTTCTTAATTAAAAATTTTTCCTAATTAATAAAAATCAATTCTGATCCAACTTTTTCTTGTATTTGGTTAGACATATTTTGGATTTGCTTTTTAAACTTTAATATTAAATAAGGCTATATTTTCTTGTATAATACCCCTCTAAATATTGAGTAGAGTTATATTTTTTGTATAATACTCTTATAGATATTGAATAAGCACTAAATATTAATATATATATTGGATTTGTTTTTTGAACTCTAATTCTTTGTGTCTTTTTTTTTTTTAATGAAAGTTAATACCTTTATGAATTATGAATTCTAAATATTATATAAATATTATATATTTGACATATATTTTAGTTCCACTTATATAATCACTAATATTTTCTTTTTCTTTTCTTAAGATTGGAAAAAAATTGAATTATAAAATGAAAATTAATGTTAATAAGTTTTCTAACTAAATAGTTAATTAGTAATAAAGTTTTTTTTAACTAAATAATTAATTAATATTAGATTTTGTTAAAGAAAAATATAGAAAAATATAAAAAAATTTAGAAAAATTTAGAAAAATTTTAATTTTAATTTTAATTTTTTAAAAGTTGGGTTCATTTGATCCAATCTGACACCCGTGTGGATGGGTCATGGGTCAATTTTCTTAACTTGACACCCGAAACGACTCAATCAAAACAACTCGAGATCCGAGATGACCCAATCCGAACCCATTTAATCTGACCTGTTTGCTGGGTCAATAAGCGTATAAATGAGTTTTCTTTAATTTGTGTTATTATTGCACATATTAAGATATATTTATTGTATATTTTAGATATTAATTTAAGTAAAAAAAATTAAAAACTAACATTAATATCATTTGTTTAATTAAAAAAATTCATATAGCATGTTACTAAAATTATGATAGTACTATATTTTAGGTATTATGTAGAATTATAAGTTTATAATCAAATTATAACATTAAATAAGTACAAAATTAAATTAAACAAGTAAAAGTGTATAATATTATGAGTGTAATTCTTGAATAAAAAACTAATTATATAATAATATATCATGTTATAAACTTATAATAACATAAGCTATAATATTTTTTTACAAAATTAATGTTATTTTTTATTTTTTATTTAAATTAACTTCTAGAAAATACAATAAACAAACCTTTAACCTAAAAATGAATTAATTACACAATTTTTCATTAATTTGTTTAGAAAATTATAAAAACTATAACTTTATTTTCAACCTCGGTAATACATTATAATTTAATTAGAAAATTAAAAAAACTAAAGTTAATTTTAATTTTTTATAATAATTATTAAAAAAACA